CCCCTGAGATCAGCCATGCACCACCTGGAAGAGCCCATGTCCCATTCAGATGTGTTATACTAATTTGGTCTTGTGATAGGCTTATATCAACATGTTTGCTCAATGTGGGCCATGTGTTTTATAGTCATGCTCAGTATTGGCTGTATTTAATCAACTTCATAGTTAGTTTCTATTGTTGAGCAAATGCTATTTTTGGCATCAGTTTAATGATAGTATATTTAATGAGATTTCCTTGTATGCAATTATAAAATGAGGAGCTTTTTTTCCCCAGGGCAACTGGAAGAAAAAAAGCTACTCTTGGCTTTCATAGTGAAGTAATGCTGGAAGGGGCCTGAAGAGATTATCTAGTCCAACTGGGGGTCAAAGCTGCCACCTTAGTGTTATTAGCCCCATGATCTAGTTTAACCAACTGAGGTAAATGGTCTTGTATTTGAATAAATACGGTAGGTCAATGGTGGATCCTGGGAAGGATGGGACATAATCAAGTCTAATGACATCCTCCAGAGCCTGAAGTTTATCCATGGAGCAGTTCTGTTCTGGTCCCTAATGCCTACTTTGAAGCCCTCAGTCTCTAGCTGGCCAGAAAGCAGGCACTTCATTTGAATCCAGAATGGCTTCTTGGGCAACTTCTGACTCAGGAGTACATTCGCAGGCTTGAATTGGTGGGGCATGTTCAGTCCCATCCTCCCTAGGGCCCATTGGTGATAGTATGGACAAGCCCTTGGTTTGTCTGAGAATACTATCGCCTTCACATTCTCTTTCTTCGCTCATTCTGTATACACATTCCCATTGATGTGGGCATCATGGGATCATAGACAGAGCTGGGAGAGGATAATTAGCACTGAAAGGTGGTCATACTCCACAGAGCATAAGAAAGCTGCAAGGAAATTGTGTTCCTATTCTGTAGGGTGCATTAGGCAAAGTGCAGGGAGGTTCCTCTGCTTGTTGTTACCTAGTATCAGTCTAACACAGACCTACAGTACCACTGCTGTTTTCTTTTATCTCTAGGCTGCATTAGCTGCCCTGCTGGAACTGAGCCTGCACAGGGGTTGGAATATAAATGGTGGAACACGCTGCCAGCTAATATGGAGACAACTGTCCTCAGCGGCATCAACTTTGAGTATAAAGGGATGGCAGGTATATGCCAAGGAGCCTTTAACTCTACCCTCTCCACATGGGGGTTTGAAAGTATTTCCCCTTTTATTCACAAAATACTCGAGCAAATAGAAGAGTCCCTCTATCTCTCAGCAGTCAAAATTGCCCCAGGTGTTGCTTGAAGCTTGCCTTGCATGCAGATTTATGTAATTGCTAAAGTATCACAGTTAATGGATGGGAGAAAGACTCACCAGATAGTGCTGCCCACACAAGTCTAGTGTGGGTATAACTGTGCCCACAAAACCCCCCCAAAATCTTGTTCTCTTTCCTATACAAAAATAGCTGTTCCAGTGTAAGTCCCTTTTGCGCTGACATGGCAATGTCCACATTAGGCAAGGTGTATGCTGCTCTAACTCAAGGAGTATAGTTACATTAGTATAACTTCTAGATGTAGCTGAGCTGGGCTTGGTCTACACAGAGTTTTGTCAGCAGAGCTGTGTCAGCTAGGGAAGTGGAAAACTCACCCCCCACAGCCGACATAGCCCTGCCACCACAACCTCTAACACGGACACAGCTCTGCCAACAGACAAGAGCTTCTGCCAGTAGAAATTCTGTCATGGCATCTCAAAGCCAGCCAAAAAAACCCTCCTGCCACCATAAGCTGTATTTCCATTAGCTCTGCTGCTGTAGTGGTGCCAACAAAGCTGCGGTAGCAGCAGCCCTGTAATGTAGTCAAGTCCATGAGCAGCCATCAGCTAATAGAAGACAACAAGCTGACCCTTGAGCAGTACTCGATCCTGCCCCTACCAGCTAAAAGCCTCTGGGGAACAAAGGTGCAAAGCAGGTGTCAGATTGGAATACTTCCAGCACTTACACAAGTGGCAGTTTTTTTTCTCCAGTGAAGACAAGTGTAAATGATGACTCCAGAGACAAACTCGGGGGCATGAGGCCCTCGGCTGTGTTCTGCTTAGTAAAATGCCGCGTGCATTTCTGGCTCGCTTCAGGTAGCAATTGGAAGTTGTTGTAAGACAAGCCCTTCTGATGAGCCGCATTGTATCTAATTCCTGTGTCCGCTGTTACAGGGTGGGAGGTGGCCAGCGACTATATCTACACAGCAGCAGGAGCCTCTGATAATGACTTCATGATCCTGACGCTGATCATTCCAGGATTCAGGTGAGGGGCAAGGTGGTGCCAAGCCGAGGCTGACTCTGGCTCATGTAAAGCCTACCCCAGAAGGTGGGAGGATGTCTGTTCAGTGTGATTGATAGGTTTAGCTGTTAGGTTATCGTGACCCCTGTAGGAAAATACACCTGAATAAACATCATTGCACAAGCTGCTTGGTTTGGCAGCTCAGTGACGCTCCAGCGCAGGAGGAGAGGCACCCACAGTCACCATCTGTACCATGAACACAGAGGACCAGATTCTGCTGCCACATGTGGGGGCTTAAATTTGGAGTGAAGGTTACTGATTTTATTGGTATCCGTGGGACTCCAGCTTGGCCCATGAACCTGCAATGGCTCCCAGGCAGTCATTCTAACAAGAATGCCTAAATTCAGCAGTCCCTACACATGAATTCAGTCTCTCTCCAGGAACTTCCTGATGTCTTTGGCCTGTGGGGGCCAACCTTTTTGGTAGGCATGCTATGAATTAGCCTCACACTCTCCTCAAGTGCTACTCCAATCCACTTCACTTGCCTTATCTGCTGCTCTGCTTTCTGTCCCCTACCCTGTGCTCCTTGCCCAATCTGTTGGTCTGCTTTCTGCCCTTTCTGCTGCTGTATTCCCTGCACCCTCCCAGGTCTGCCACATGCCATGCACAGAGGCTGCCCATGCCACTCAGGTATGCATGCTGTAGGTTGGCCACCCCTGTCTTAAGCAATAGAGCTATGGCCTCTGATATATGCCTTTTTATTTACAGCCCCCCGCAGTCAGTGATGGAGGATGCTGAAAACAAAGAGGTGGCAAGAATTACCTTTGTCTTTGAGACTGTCTGCACTGTAAGCTGCGAGCTGTACTTCATGGTGGTAGGTTAACATGGCTCTTCCTGCCATGGCTCCCTTTCATGATAAATCAATGCTATTTCCTCATTCTGTTTGAAGGGCTTTCCCCCCACTCCCTGTAGACATGGAGCTTTCACCAGGTTGCTGGTTTGATTTCTTTGCAGGAGGAGCAAAGACCAAGTGCCAGTGTGATCTGTAAGTGGCGTAGAGGCCAGGGGCTCCAAATTGGGCTCACTTCTGCAGTCTGTGGATGTGGAATTGTAGGAAAAGCCTGCCCAGTTACCACTCACCCAGACTGTACCACTCGATCAGCCTTGTGCCTCTCTCCTGGCTACTGCAGCGCACCTACACTGAGTTCTAGTGTCCCGCATGAGCCTGTGGCTGTCGTGTCCTCCACTTGCTTGCTGCCTTCAACCAAGTACCTCATCCATCTTATATTGCTGTGTTTGGTCTTCCCTCCCATGCAGCACATTTGCTGTTTTTCTCCTTATACGCCATGACAGAACTGGCACAAAGTAGGGGAGGGATGAACAGAGTTAAATGACAAGGGGCGAGGCACTTGAAACTGGAGTTCCCAGTCTGATCCATGGACCACTACGTGGCCCACCATTGGTCTGTGGATTACACTGGGCATGACCCCCTTTTTAAAATTAAAGGTCTGGTAAGAAGGGAATGTCATGATGTAATGGATACTTACTTGTTTTGAGGCTGGCAAAAAAAGTAACCAGACACCTAGCAAAAATAATATGGACAAGATTAGAAAAGACTGAGGCTCATAGTAACTAAAGTGAGCATCAGAGAACTTTTGAGTAGTTTGATTGGATTTTGGTCAGCAGGCCCTGGTGAATGTCAGCCCAGGTGCTGAAGAATTTGGCAGAAGGAATCATGGTACCCTTGGCAATATTATGTACAAAGTCATGGGAGACACGTGAGATTCCAGAGGTCAGGAAAAGGGCCAACAGTGCCCCTCTTACAGAAAGGCAAAGAAGAGGGCCCAAGAAATTATAGAGCAGTTAGCCTGACTTCAATATATAGGAAGTTACAGGAGCAAATTATAAAAGACATTTGGTAAACATCTGGAGGAGGAAAGGTAGCAGCCAGCATGGAATTGCTAAGAACAAGTCATGCCAAACCAACTTGATCTGCTTCTTTGGCAAAGTAACTAGTTGGGTGAGTGAAGGGAATGCAGTGGACAGAGTGTACAAGACTTTAGCTGGGCTTTTGATAAAGTCTTTCAAAATGTTCTCATAGGTAAACTAGCAAAATGTAGGCTAGATAAGACTGCTATAAGGTAGGCACCGAAGTAACTCAATAACTGCAAGTAAATAGTAATTGTGAGTGGCAGGAGGTTTCGAATGGGATTCCACAAGGTCCAGTGTTAATTAGCTTGTTTGTTAATAATTTGAATGCTGGAATAGAAAGCTTTCTGATGAAGTTTGCAGAACACAGCAAACTGGGAAAGATTGCAAAAGCTTTGGAGGATAGGAGTAGAATTAAGAGTGTATCAGTCTTGCTAGATGGGAAAGCCAGGATAGAGACAACGTAATAAAATTCAACACAGAATGAAGTTCTTTCCTGCTGCACATAGGGAAGAATGTACAAATAAACAGTGGGAGATAACTGGCCTTGTGGCAGCATTGCTGAGAAGGATCTTGGAGTTTGGTGGGTCACAGATGCAACGTGAGTCAGCAATGTGATGTAGCTGCAAAAAACCCCAAATGCAACTTTGGGCTGCATCACCACTTCAGGTGTAAGGCATAGCGCTGAGGCACTTTGTATCATTACAAATACATATCTTGTCTGTAGCCACAGATGGTAGAATTTGCAAGGGTCTTGAGTGGATGCAAAAGCAGGTATCTGCATATAACAGATATTTGGTAAAAGCACCCAATGGCTTTTGCTGTACCGCAGGGATGTCAAATATATGACCTGCAGGCTGGATTTAGCCCATGGGACCATGTTATCTGGCCTGCGGGGTTCCTAGAAGGGCCAGGAATTTGAGGGGGATGGGGAAGCGGAGGCATGCAGCAAGCAGGGGTGGGGCTTGCCACAAAAATATGGGGTCCAGAGGCCCCTTGGTGATGTGTCAGAGGTAGGAGGCGAGTGACAGCTGCATTAACCCTGTGCCACTGCCACTCACCATGCCACTGCTGCACCTGGATCCAGCCCACAAAGAGCTCTGCAGTCCAGATCCAGCCTGTGAGGAGGGTGAGTTCAACCCCTGTTCCCTAAAGTGTCATGGCTTCTGAAAATGGGGCTTTGAAAATTTCCCCAAATACATTACCATAAATATAAGCAGAGCCATCTCCTCTTCTGTATCCATGAAGATATTTGCCCCTTCAGGGCAGGTCGTGGGATATGTGTTGTTTTGGGTTGCCTTTCTTTTTAGCTATTTGACCAGCTATAGTAAAACTCATTGGGGTAGAAATGGCATCTGTTAGTGAGCCACTTTTTATTCTCCCATCCATGGCAGGGTGTGAATTCGAAGACCAACACACCAGTAGAGACCTGGACCGGCTCCAAGGGGAAACAATCCTACACGTACATCGTTGAAAATAACGCCACTATGAGCTTCACTTGGGCCTTCCAACGGACGCCGTATCATGAGGCAGTAAGAGTGTGGTGTCACAGTCCCAGGTCTTCATAGGTCATGACCCATTAAGAGTTGATTGCATCCTCCTTTCCTTCACCAGTCCTGCAAGATGTAGCTTCCAGAACCTTTCAAATACATGCCATGCCCTTTAGTAGAACAGGGATAATCAGCAGAGAGGAAGGATGACTCAGGCTAAATCTATATGAATACTTACTGCTCCTGGCAACAGTGCCCTCAAGAACAGTGCATTGCCTACAAAACCAGAAGCGGTGTAGATGCAGCTGTGAGCAGGCTAGTTAGCTTGGGGACAGGCTAATTGGCCTGCCAGGCTATTTGACCTCCAGGGCTGCCCCCAAGCAAGCCATAACTGCTTCCCATTTAAGAAGCAATTCAGTCAGTGCACCAGTGATTTAGGGCACTAACAAGAGTCTAGAAATCCATGTTCGAGTCCCTGCTTTGTCACAAGCTTCGTGTGTGAGCTTGCTCAAATCACTTAACCTCCTTAGGTTTCTGTTTCCCATCTCTCCTATGGGGATAATAATTTTTCCCTGATGCCCGGGTATGGGCAATGATAACGGAGAGAAAATTGTAAGGACTCAAATATTCCAGTTGTCTGGGTGGGGGGTGGAGAATGTAGAAGTACTCATGACAGATGGTAGAAAAGCTCTGTCCTACTGTAATGGGCTTGATTCTTATTTTTATCCTAAAATATCCAGGCTAATCTCAGTAAGATCCTGAGTCCTCAGTTCTAGCAAGAATGCTACTTCCATGCAGGGTTAATGGGAATGTCTTTGTTCCAGGGGAGGAAGTACACAAATGACATCGCCAAGCTCTACTCAATCAACGTGACCAACGTTATGGATGGTGTGGCCTCCTACTGCCGGCGTTGTGCCCTGGAGGCCTCAGGGGCTTCCTGCACCTCCTGCCCACCTGGGAACTACATTGACCGAACGTCTGGTGCCTGCCACCCCTGTGCACCAAACACTTACCTGAAAGCTCACCAGCCCTACGGCCATCAGGCCTGCATCCCCTGTGGCCCAGGCACAGTTAGCAATAAGGTGTCATTACCCTTCCTAGTAGTCAGTAGCAATATGATGGGGCCTGCAGTGCTAGATGCTGTATGCACATGCAAAGATGAAGGATCCTGATCCTGAAGCACGGTCTGTGGTTAATCTGCCCTTCTCATCTGCTGACTTTAAGATTCCCCACAACCCTCAGGGATGTGATTGCGGGATCAGGTCCTAGCACTCTATGTGTGATGGACAGCAAGTCCTGCTTCTTGTCCACAGTAGACATGAGTGGACCAGCCAGTGATCGACACTTTGCAGACCTCAACAGCTATATTGTAGGGTCTTGGAACTAGATAGTTTCTTTCTTTCCTGCTGTGCTCAAGGGTTGCTTGTTTGGTTTGGTTTTGATTTGTTCTTTAAATGTGATCATACATTAAAAAACCCCTTTCTTCCATCTAGAATCAATCTGCTGCATGTGATTTAAGGGGAGGGTTTCTTGCAGTAGAGAAAACAAGCCTGGGCCTGTAATGAATATTTTCTGAATATATCTATTGAGGCTACTGGATACAGATGAACTTTGAGGTTCTCTCTGGCTACTGGAATATCTAACAGTAGGGTCTGCATAGCCTAATATCATCATGTAGGGTCTCTCCAAGTCCTGACTTACAGTTGTCATTCAGACAATGCTGGTGCCTGTTAAGATTGCCCTGCACTTACTACAGGTGCCTGGTCAAATTTTGCTATGAATTGCACTGATGTAAATCCAGCAACTTGGGCTGTGTTTAAGCATAATATTTGTAATGCTATATACAACCTTATAGGACTTCAAAATGTGGGTTTCAGACCTGCACCCTGGCTGTAATGCTACAAAATGGTACAAGCACTCAAGAAAGGTACTTGGATGAAACAAGAACTTCTCTGTAGTACAGTGTTTCTTCAACTTCTTTTTTTGGACTAAAATTGGTGGCACATTTCATTCTTAGGCCCAAAAAGGGTGCGGGTGTGGCGGGGGAGGGTGTGAGAGAGGATGACTTCTTAGTATATGCACATGCACATGTGCGTGTGTACACACATGCGTGCACACACACACACTCAAAACTCAAGGATTGATGAAAATAAAATGTAATCTTTTGGCCCAGCGGGCTAGATGACTAGTTCCAGGTCAGTCTGTTGACCAGATTCAATCTGTGAGCCTGATCCCTCCTCCTCGGGCTGGCATGGTTGGGCCCCATCCAGCCAACTTTTCACAGCATATTCCT